GTCATTCATGTGACTGAAGTCATGTTTTTATGCTGTCAAAATGTAAATGCCTCAATCAGCGTTGGTGCCAGAGCGCACAAAGTGAGGGGGTACTTTGAAAAGAAAATAACCTGTTTCTGAATATTATTTTCATTTAAATTATGTAGACTACTAGTGTAGAAGTAATTTTCAGATGCAACGAATAAAATAGGAAAAACACAAACAAGAAACTTGCAAATAAATTTGATATATACAGTATAGCCTACAATTTAATAACATATAGCCTAGTATTATATATGAATAGGATGTTCATCAACTGATTGCAGGCGGTCAGATCAGTGTTGACAGCTCCATAAAATAACCTACTGGAAGCTCTCTAGTTTTGGTGTATATAACTAAAAATATGAAAAGTACAAACACAATAACATTTACAGTTACTTCAATTTCTGAAAAAAAGAATGTAGTAATTGATGTCATAAATACATCAATAAAATAAATGTATATAATATTTATAATGGATAAATATAAATGCAGTATATAATATAGGCTTAGCTATAAACAAGCCAAAACAAAGCGAAACTGAAGGTAAAGTTAGGCTCATATCCTACCGCTCTCATTCGGCACAAATCCAATCGTTTCCATATGCGCGATGTTTTTGAAGCTATATATTTAGGCTATTAGGTAAAATAGGTTTTGCAGTTCACGCGTGTTCCAGTGTCGACGGAAAAAATCATAATGAGCAAAAATATTCCACAGTGAACCGGTGCTTACGCTGAACGGCATGGTTAATGGTTGTGCTGTTTGCAATGGGTAGTGTGCGCGTGAGGCGCCGGTGCGATCAAACAGTGGAAACAAAGGCCTACTCCGTCATTTTTGGTCATACAGTAGGCATACAAAACAGTGCAAAGTGTTAGCTGTTTGAAGATTCAAGAATATTAGCAAAGCTTATTAGAATTCTTTCTAAACTATCCATTCTTATTTCGCTCTGGAACCTGAACGAAAAAAAATATTTTTGAAATGAAAACCGAATACTAGGGGGCTAATAATCTGGCAGGAGTCAGAATTCGGCACAACACCAGAGTCCTATGGTCCTGTCAATCTTGCGCTGTGGCTCGTGCTGTATGAATTAAGCGGACGCTTGTCTGCTGTCCAACTCAACTATAGGCTACATTATTTATGTTAGGCCTATTATATAAAAATCGGTGGATGGCCGAACACACCGGCACAAGCCTTAAAGGGATAGTTCACCCAAAAATGAAAATTCTGTCATTAATTACTCACCCTCATGTCGTTTCAAACCCGTAAAACCTTCGTTAATCTTCGGAACACAAATTTAGATATTTTTGATGGAATCTGAGAGCTGTCTGACCCTGCATAGACAGCAATACAACTGAAATGTTCCCAAGTTCAGAGACGTAGCAAGGAGATCTGTAAAATAATCCATGTGACATCAGTGGTTCATCCGCAATTATACGAAGCTACGAGAATACTTTTTGTGCGCAAAAAAAAA